GGGGGCGAGGGCGAGGACACCGCAGGGAGGAGAAACAGCGCAGCAGGTGAGGCGCCGGGTCCGCACCCGCCACGCACCCGCCGCGGGCCGGAGCTCAGTCCTAACGTGCAGCCTGGGGTGGGCGCATGCGGTCCTGCTGGCACCAAGCTCACATGGTCGTTGCGAAGACGGCGGAGCTGGCGCGGGGCGCAGCACTTTCACGTGCTAGGCAAGCTGCTGAGGAAATGACAGGTGTCCCGACGAGCTAGCACCCTACAGGGGGCCACCCGGCGCCGGCAAAGGCGGCGTCCGGGACGAGGGCAGGAGGAGGCGACCCGGCCGCACAGAATTTGAAATGGAAGACAGGAGGGAACCATTCATTCCACTCGGGCTGAGAACAGAGTGAGGAAAATTCCAGAAAAAGAAGGAATAAGCTGCTGGGCCTCGCAGGACATCAGCCCGGGAGAGGGAGACAGAGCGAGCCGAGCGCGGCCGTAAGGGCGCCGCGCACCTGCAGGCGCAGGTGACACACGCAGGAGGGACAGAGCCCGCGGCCGCAGGCAGGGTGCACGGGGGTGGACGGCGAGGGCGGATGTAGGGGGTGCTGAGTGCCACCCTAAGGAGCCTGGGCTTTTGACCATGAGAAGCCACCGAGAGTTTTTAAACTAGAGCAACACTGTCACGTCTTTCAGACCAACACTCCTGAGAGCCGGGGAGGGTCAGGGGAAGAGGGAGGGTCACCTAGGCAGCGAAGGTCACAATGTCTGGTGAGATGGGTGAGGACAGGGGGTGAGGGGTGAGCGGTGGGGACACTAAGAGGCTGCTGGGCAAGCGACGGCCGACCGCCCTGCGTGACGCACTCAACGGCGAGCGCTGAGCAGCAACCCCGTCACCCGCGCGAAGCCAGCTCGTCCCTCAGCTGTTCGCCACCTAATCGTCGCCCGTCAGCTCTGGCTCCCGGGTCCTGCCGACCCGTCTCCTTCCCTCGATTCTCTCCCCAGCCCTCCCCTCCCCTCCGCCCGGGCTGCAGTGTGAGGACCTCGGGCTCTGTGGGAACCACCCTCCTCAGGCTCCTCCGCCTCTGCCCTGGGCCAGTGGGAGGAATGGGGCCGGAAGCAGCCATTTTTTAAAAACAGAAGACTGACAATCACGAAGAAACCCAGGGGAGCGTGAGAGCCCCGACAACCCGTTTGTATCCGTTTGTCTCACTAGAGGACACACCTACCCAGGACATGAGACAGCCTCCCACTCGGACACGAACTGGTCCAAGCGGTGTGCTGTGCGCCTTTCCTCCCGCGTCGAGGGTGCGACAATGCCCCGGTTTCCACTCATCACTCACAGCACACGAGCAAGTCACACGAAGCCCGGCAGACGGGGCCGGTAGGAAAGCAGCAGCTGAAACCAGGGGCATCAGGAACACGACGGCAGACGGATGAGCGGTGCCGGGAAAATTATGTTCCGTGATGACCAATAAAACTCTGGCCGTGTGAAATATCTCATTCATGAAATCTGCATAGAACACACAACTAAGGCGGAACAATCGTTGTAAAAATAAAATGACAAGACCAAATAAACCTATATTTCTTTCCTACTTTATGCAGGGGACTGCTCACAATTTTATTTTTTCCCCCAAGTTAAAAAAACTATTCACAACTGATCTGTGCCACTGAATGTGAAAATGATTCATAAAGAATCGGGCAAATGTGCACAACCATTAAGGACGGTGTGACTATTAATCATTCTGATTCCTGATCATAATAAAGTTTCCCCCAAGTTGTGCACACGGGTCTCTGTAAATCGGTTGTTGCAGTTACATAGAAAAACAAACTCCTCTAGCGCGGACGCGGGGCCTCGTCAGTACAGGAAGCGCTGGTGTGGTGCTTGGTTGTCGTTAGTCCCGTCTGGTGTTGGTTAGGACACAGAGGACGTACACCTTGTGCCACTGGATCTTGTACCAAGTCTTCAAAATGTACAAACGCCCTTCCCTGTGAGCCTTCAGAGTCCCCGGGGCAGCGGCCCTCAGAGGCGAGGCTGCATCGTGACCACCAGGCGGCCAGTAACACACAGATGGGGGGGGCGTCCTACAGATCCTGGCCCGGCAGGTGTGGGGTGGGGCCGGGAACTTGCATTTGAACAAGTGTCCTAGTGACACTGAGGCTGCTGGCCCTGGGGCCACACCTGAACACCACTGCAGTAAGACAAGACAGGGTCCGGAAAGGAGCCAAGCAGGCGACTGGTCTCCTTCGGTGGCGGCAGGGCGAGGCCGGGCCAAGATGGACAGGGAGGGGCAGAGGGTGGGCAGAGGCTGGTGGTCGGTTTTGGAAATGCTCGGGATGCCCTGCTGTCTAGTCTTACAGCGTCCCCACCGATTAATTCTATTTGACCACATCCAGACTTCCCCGCCGTGACTCGCCACCAGCCCTCCCCGCCTGGTCCTGCTCTTTCACGCGCCCTGCACACTCCGTGACGTTCATGTGGGTTTTGGCGTGAGCAACAGGGAGCTTCAACTAATGGCTTCAACAAGACAGAGTGTGTTTCCCTGTCAAGTGAAACTCTGATAAGTAGTGAAGGGCTAGGTGAAGGCTAGGCCGTTTCCGGAGGCCTACCCGCCTTCCACCTGGCTGTTCAGGTGTCTGACTCTCATCTCCGAGGTCGCCTTCTGGTCCAGTGTGGACGGTGAGTGTCGGCCATTCTAGCTTCAGCACAGCTTCCCTCCTCCCTTTAAAAACACTTGCCCGGAATCTACAATTGATGGCAAAACAAAAAATTCTAACTAAACAAAAACAAGACCACTTCCCCAAGTGGAACACAAATTTACTAGTCAGACTTAGTCCCACAGCCACACCTAATCCTACAAGGAAACCAGGGAAATCTAGCTTTTATTTGGGGTGATGCGTGTGCTTAGCGAATGACTGAGGGGTCAAATGGAGACTGGGAGACCACGGGCCGTTTGCACCACGGTCACCTCGTCTCTCCTGTACTCAGCAGCCAGGGATCCTTTCAGAACATCGTTCAGATTATGTCACAGCCTTTTACAAATCTTCCAACAGAGTCCCATTATACTGGGAACAACCAAACTGCATGCTGAGAGCAGAGGCCATGTGATTTGGGACCTGACCACCCCGACCTTCGACAGCCACCTCGCTCCGCAGGCCGCTCTCCCTGTCACTCCCACACGCCAGGCTAATTCTTGCCTTAGGGGTCAGCTATTCCTTCGGCCTAAATCTCTGTGCGCGGCTGGCTCCTTCCTGTTGTTCGGGCCCTGAGAGGCCTTCCCGGCTTCTAAAGAAGCCACACATTTCCCCTCCATCCTGTTTTATTATACAAATAATTGCTAATGTCATTACTTCTATTAGCTGGTATGTTCTTGTTGTTTATCGGTCTCTTCCTGCGAGAAAGAGGGGCCTGCTGTGCCTGATTCACTGCTGCCCCTCCAGGGACTAGAAGACGCCTGCACGCAACAACACTGGGTGACGACAGGGTGTGACTGAGCGCTACCCTGGGATGTCCTCCTTGTGACCACCACACACAGCAGAGCCCTGCATGGACAGACTCACAGGCACACCTCTGGGTGGACTGCACCACACAGGTGACCCAGCTTCTTTTTCTCTGGACAGGAAAATAACTGATTTTTTTTTTTTTTTCAGAGACTCAGTCACTACTCTCCCTTTCCCAAGCTGGACTGTGTGTCTTCCTAAGTCTTCCTGTTTTAAGTGGTGAACATAAGGTGCGTTAAATCTATCAGGAGGTGTCAGAGTGTAACCACCGCCCCACCGCTCTCCCTGCTCCTTGCTCGTCTCGATCACGGAATCAGAATGAAGTCAGTCCCTCTGGAGTCCACAGAGGACCTTCAGTCATAGTAACTTTTTTCCATGAACTGTGTTCCTAAGAGCAGAAAAGTACCCCAGCTTAATCAAACTCCATTTTAATGATCAGTTAAGAAGGAAGAAAGGCCTTGGGGGTCTCTGGGGTCACTCCAGCCTATGTGTGCCGCCCACAGTGCCAACCACTCTTATGAGAAATGTAACTGTAGAAAAAGTGTTTCCTCTTTGGGGCAGAATGTGACAACCTCGCTAGCGCATGCTCCTGCCAGAGCAGCGCGTCTGCTCTAATCACACAGAAGTCTTTCTTAGACACCACGGCAACTGCCATCAAACCTTACCACGACCAGGTCACACTCTGGGGGTTGTCTGATATCTTCTCACCCACGAGGTGCTGTCATTTCCAATGTATTACTCTAGGCCGATTTAAAGTGACATGCCATTCTGACTAGGAAAATGTGAACTTTCAGATCAGTCCATGCTGTAATTTTGTGACTGACATAACAAATAGATGAAAAAGCGTTGGTTTTCCCCAGCCTCTGATGAGCCATGGAGAGGGTGAGGTCCCTGACCCATTAGAGCCACCCTGCCCTTGCCTGTTGTTTTTGTTTTTAGTGCTCCTCATAAGGGTTCCTCTGAGGACTATCCTAATTCTAAAACCAGATAAAGACACTGCAAAGAAAGAAAATTATAGGCCAGTATCTCTGATGGACATTAGGCTAAAATCCACAACAAAATACTAGTAAAATGGATCCACAATACATTAAAAAGATCATACACCACGACCAAGTGGGATTTATTCCGGGGATGCAAGGCTGGTACAATATTCAGAAATCAACAAATGTGATACATAAACAAAATGAAGGGCAGAAGTCATATGATCATATCAATAGATGCAGAAAAAGCATTCGACAAAATCCAGCACCCATTTTGTGGGAATAGAGGGATCATACCTCAACATAACAAAGGCCATATATGACAAACCCTCAGCCAACATCATACTCAACGGGCAAAAAGTGATTCCCTCAGGGATGTCCGCTTTCACCACCCTTTTTCAACACAGTACTCAAGTCCTGGCCACAGCCATCATACAAGAATAAAAAACAAAAGGCATCCAAACTGGAAAGGAGAAAGTAAAACTGTCATAACTTGCAGATGACATGATATTGTACATAGAAAACCCTAAAGATTCCACCAAAAAACTACTAGAACTGACCGATGAATTCAGGCAAGTAGCAGGATACAAGATTAATATTCAGAAATCAGTTGCATTTTTATACACTAATAAGGAACTATCAGAAAGGGGAGCTAAGAAAACAATCCCATTTACCATTGCAACAAAAAATTTAAGATACTTAGGAATAATCTTAACCAAGGAGGTAAAAGACCTGTACTCGGAAAACTACAAGATGTGAAAAGAGATAGAGGGAGATATAACTNGTAATATTTGTTCTACATCTGTGAAATATGCCGTTGGTATTTTAATTGGGATTGCATTGAATATACCATGCTCATGGATTGGAAGAATTAACATCATTAAAATGTCCACACTACCCAAAGCAATCTATAAATTCAATGCAATCCCAATTAAAATACCAACGGCATATTTCACAGATGTAGAACAAATATTACAAAAATTTATACAGAACCAAAAAAGACCCCGAATAGCTGCAGCAATCCTGAGAAAGAAGAACAAAGTTGGAGGGATCACAATACCAGATATCAAGTTATACTACAAAACCACTGTAATCAGAACGGCCTGGTCCTGGCACAAGAACAGGCATATAGATCAATGGAACAGAACAGAGAACCCAGAAATCGACCCACTTCATTATGGTCAATTAATATTTGACAAAGGAGGTGAGAGCAACAATGGAGTAAAGACAGTCTCTTCAATAAATGGTGTTGAGAAAATTGGACAGGTACATGCAAAAAAATGAAACTAGACCACCAACCTACACCATACACAAAAACAAACTCAAAACGGATAAAAGACTTAAATGCAAGACATGAAACCATAAAAATCCTAGAGGGAAGCAGAGGCAGCACAGTCTCAGACACCTCTGGTAGCAATATGTTCACCAACACATCTCCTAGGGCAAGAGAAACTAAGGAGAAACTAAACAAATGGGACGACATCGACTATAAGGCTCCTGCACAGCAAAAGAAACCCTCAACAAAACGAAAAGGGAGCCCACTGTCTGGGAGAACATATTTGCCAACGACACATCTACTAAGGGGTTAATATCCAAAATATATAAGGAACTCATACAACTTAACAAAAGGAAGACACACGATCCACTTAAAAAACGGGCAAAGGACCTGAATAGACACTTCTCCAAAGAGGACGTACAGAGGCCAAGAGACATGTGAAGAAATGCTCAACCTCACTAATCATGAGAGATGCAAATGAAAACCACAATGAGGTGTCGCTCACACCTGGCAGAACGGCTCCATCAGCAAATCAACGAATGACATGTGCTGGCGAGGGTGTGGGGAAAGGGGA